AAAAAAAAAAAAAAAAAAATATATATATATATATATATATATGTTTTTCTACTTACCTTTTGTTCATAGACATTTCTGTTTCGTTATATCACTGTATATATGTTTCCCTTTGGAAATGAAGGTATTTAACTATAAGAAAAGTGAGTCAACGTAAAGACAAAGAGTAGCAAATGATGATACAGGAAGCCTGGGGGAGTGGCGAACGTCACAGGAATGCCTGAAGTTCTGAACCCTTGCTTGGGAAGAGTCTTCCCTTTGTAGATTTAGAAAGTGTTCCCAGCCTCCTACCAGGGGAGCTGTGGAGACGTCCAGGAGGGGTGGAAGGTCAAACTGGGCCATTTGGGAAAGAAGCAGGTGAAGGAAGAAAGGAGCATAGGTTCCCTGGAGCCTGAAAGGAGCTAAATAAGGTATTGAGCTTTCTGGGGGCAAAAGGGAAACAGAGTTCAGAGTCAGATGAGAGTTAAAATACGTCTCTGCCAAGCACTTTGTCAGCCACCAGAGCAGGGGATGTGTAGGTGAACAGATACTACACATCAGAGCATGCAGGGGCTGGGGGCTCTGGGGACCCCTTACCTGTCCCCTTCCTAGGATGAGTGACAAAGAGTTATCATTGTTGTTATTGATAATAATTCATTAATTAAATAAATATTTTTGATCTTTTATGTAGCAGTACCACTTTTATCACTGGACATATAATAGTAGAATAATAAATATGAAGATAATCATGTAATGTACCTAATAATATAATTTAATACATTGTATATATTGTAATATATAATATAAAATATAATGTAATAAAAGAATATATTAAGACACTAACATAATTAGTAATAGAGTGAAATACTAAATAATGTGTAATAAATACTAAGTGACATCCAATGTCCATATTAATAATACACATACAAATGTATCTCATATGTATAATATAAAACAGTATCTATTAAATAACATTATGTATCAAATAGTTAGACACAGAGTTACCATATAACCTAGCAATTCTACTCCTAGAGAAATGAAAACATGTATACCCACTTAAAAACTTATACATGAATGGGGGTGACACCTGTGGCTCAAAAGAGTAGGGTGCCAGCCCCATATGCCGGAGGTGGCGGGTTCAAACCCAGCCCCAGCCAAAAAAACAAAACAAAACAAAAACCTTATACATGAATGTTCATAGCAGCATTGTTCACAGTAGCCAAATGGTAGAAAAATCCCAACTGTCTACCTGTGGGATTGGCAAATCCAGTGGACAAATGCATAAACAAAATGTGATGCATGGGCTTGGTGGCTGTAGCTCAGAGGGCACATACATCCAGCCTGGCAGGTTCGAACCCAGCCCGGGCCTGCTAAACATCAATGACAACAACAACAACAACAACAAAAAAACCAATAGCTGGGCATTGTGGCGGGCACCTGTAGTCCCAGCCACTTGGGAGGCTGAGGCAAGAGAATCACTTAAGCCCAAGAGTGGAGGTTGCTGTGAGCTGTGATGCCATAGCACTCTACTGAGGGCGACGTAGTGAAACTGTCTCCAAAAAAAAATAGTGATGTTTGGAGTATCATCCAGCCAGAAAAAGGAATGGATTTCTGATATGTGCTGCAATAGGGACAAATGTTGAAAGCATTTTGCTATGTGAAGGAAGCCAGTCACAAAAGACCACATACGGTGTGATTCCATTTTCACAAAATGTCCAGAATAGGCAAATCCATGCAAATGAAAACTGCCAGGACTGGGGCAGATGGAAAGATTTGGAGCAATAGCTAAAGGGAATAGAGTTCCCTTTGAGATGATCTAAAATTGATTGTGATAGTGTCTGTATAACTGTTTTTACATATTAAAAACCATTGAATTGTACACTTCAGATGGATGACTACTATGGTAGGCGGATTAGGTCTCAATGAAGCTCTTACCAAGAAACATAAAGTAACATAATATATACTATAGTGTATAAAAACAAGTAATATAGTAAAATAACACTGACTTCCCTCCCCAAACCTTGTTTTAGAACATGACAGTCCCAGGTGCTGTCTTCTTTAATCCTTGCCACACCCCTACTGGGTGGGACTCTCATGATCCCATTGTACAGATGAGGAAACTGGGGCTCCTTGCAGCTGTGATTTCACCTGGCTTCAGGTCAAGTCACAACTCCCCTAGGTAGGCGGGAAGGCTCTGGCAGGAAGACCTTGCAGGGTGGCCCACCTGACTGCTATACCCATCTGTCCCATAGTGTCACTGGCTTCCAGCACAGTGGGGCCAGGCGGGCAGATTGTGCACTCAGAGACCACTGAAGTTGTGCTCTGCGGAGATCCTCTCAGCGGCTTTGGCCTCCAGCTCCAGGGTGGCATCTTTGCCACCGAGACCCTGTCCTCCCCACCCCTGGTGCGTTTCATCGAGCCTGATAGCCCGGCTGAGAGGTGAGCCTGCTGCCTCTCTCCTCTGAGCCTGCCTCTGTTCAATTTAGGGGGTTCCAGAACAGCCAGGGAAACTGAGTCACAGTGTTGAGCCCTGACTTTACAAGCGTATCTCACTTATCCGTGATGTCAACCCCTAGCCCCGTTTATATAACCAAGGTTCAGAGAAGCTGATTCACATAGCTTGTAGGTGGAATCCCCAGGACTTGAACCCCTGTTTGTCTGTAGTCTTACATCTTCTGAGGACCATGGCCTTGACTCCACTGGACAGACAAACTGAGGCCCAGCAGGGTAAAGCCCTTAGCTAGGGTCACACTGGCTGGGAACAGAGCTAAGAATCACACCTTAGGCCAAGAGGTGGGGTCCAGGCTGATTCCCAGTGGGGTTATCAAAGAGCCTCTTCTCTCTGCCCGGGCCCTGGGGTTCAGGTGTGGGCTGCTGCAGGTGGGAGACCGTGTCCTGTCCATCAATGGCATTGCCACTGAAGACGGGACCATGGAGGAAGCCAACCAGCTACTGCGAGACGCTGCGCTGGCCCATAAGGTTGTGCTGGAGGTCGAGTTCGACGTGGCGGGTGAGTGAGAGGCTACAGCTTCCTCCTCACACTGGGGGACCCTGTGCTGCCCCTTTCTTAATCCTGTCCTGCCTGGTGCAAGTGCCCCTCCGCCAATCCCACTGGACACCCAGAGCCCTTCCCAGGGGCGCTTGGAAGGAAGACACTGGCCGGGGAAGGATTTTCCCACACTAGAGTGTGGGTTCATGAGGAGACTGTTGCACTGGGACAGAAGGAACCTGGGCGGGGACAGGGAGTGGACGAGCTGAAAATATTCCAGGCGCCTTCTCTTCAAGGCTTAGGGGGAGATCCCCAGACAACTTGGATTAGAAGTCTGGTTCTGTGGCGTGGACACTACGGGACTACTGGTCACTTTCTCCTTCTACCCTCAGCTTCCTCATCCTCAAAATCGTGTAGAATCTTCTCACTGTAGGAGTGTTAAGTTAGATGCAATAAAGCCTTTGACATACCCAGCCAAGGGTAGGTGCACATAGTAGGTGCTCAGTAAATCTTCGCTGCATCCAAATGGGGTTGAGTTTGGCTATGTACCCCCCCCCCACATTGGCGTATAGTCCTGAGGTTTGGTGTTCGGTCCCAACTCTCCTCCGACCAGAGCAGGTCAAACGTTTTGAGTGAATCTACTCACTTCTTCTCAGTTTCCTTCTCCGTCAGGATGAAGAAGGAGGAGGTGGGTGGGATGGCGACTTTTAGGATTCTCTCCGCCAGGCCAGAATGGCAATGGGGCAGGGGGTCTCTTTATAACTTGGGTCTCACAGGAGTCCACGTCCTTGTTCCCAGAGTCCGTGATCCCAAGCAGCGGCACCTTCCACGTGAAGTTGCCCAAGAGGCGTGGTGTGGAGCTGGGCATCACCATCAGCTGTGAGTCCCCTCGCCTGCCACACCCCTCCCTGCCTGCCCCCTGGAGGGAGTCCATGTGCAAGGGGCCAGGCCTGGCCAAGCTGTGAGGAGTGGCAGTGTCTTGGACTTGACACTCTGTGTGGCCCAGGGGAAAGGCTCTGGATGTGGGGGGCCAGGCAGACGTCTGTATGGCCCAGCTGTGCATCCTCAGGCAAGACCCAACATTCTTGAAGCCTCAGTTTCTTATTCTGCACAATGTGGGGAGCCTCCTGGCCTTGTGGGTCTCCCAGTGGGGTTGAGAGGTGCCCTCAGGTGGAGAGGTTTATGAGGTGCCAAACACATGGCCTGGGCTTGGTTTTCTGTCTACTTCTGTGTTCCCAGAGCCCCCAAAGAGGCCTGGCATGCAGTAGGAATGCAGGTCCATTTGCCAAGAAAGTGAAAGTGAGGAATGTGTAATCCTAGCACTCTTGGGAGGCAGAGGCAGGGGATTGCTTGAGTTCAGGAGTTTGAGACCAGCTTGAGCAAGAGCGAGTCCCCGTGCCTACTGAAAATAGAAAAACTAGGCAAGATGATCACTTCAGCCCAAGAGCTTGAGGTTGCTCTGTGCTACGATGCCTTGGCACTCTACTCAGGGTGCCAGAGTGAGACTCTGTCTCAAAAAAATAAAAAAAAGGAAAGAAAAAGAAAGTGAAGAATGCAGATGAAAAAAGAAACAATTCATGAGTGGAGGAAAATTGAGAGCCCTGCTACGGCTCCCGTTTTACTCAGAGTACAAGCTGAGGCCCTGGTGGCCCCAGTAAGGCCTGGTGTGAGCTGGTCCCAGACCTCTGGCCTCATCTCCCCCACTCCCCTGCTCGAATTCTGAGGCACAGCTGCTGCCTGAGCGGCCACTCCCTGTCCTCACTGTGCTCCCTCCCGCTCGGGGTCCTCGCACTGACTTGCCCTTCTGCTCTCTTCTCTGACCTCCTTTGGGTCTTTGCCCAAATGTCACTTCAGCAAGGCCTTCCCCAACTCTGATTTAGAATGCTGCTGCCCTCCACGCGGCATGTCTCTCCAGAGCAGGCTTCCTCAACCCAGGGAACATGGATGTTCGCGTGTTGTCGTTATCTATGACCACCTTTGGGAGGACAGGGAAGGATCTTTGTCTTTTTTGTCACTGTTGTGTCCCCTCCCACTCTGGGCACATAGTACAGCCCAAGGTGCAGGCCCTGGATCAGTGCTGAGGATATAGACACGAGCCAGCCCGGAGCTTGCGACTTGCTTAGCAGGAGAAAGAAAGGGCTGATGTTCACGGGGCACCCAGTGTGCCAGGAGCCATGTTTGGTTTTGCACTCACATTATCTGGTTTAATCTCACTGCAACCCCATGTGGTCTGTGGGGTCACCCCATTTTACAGAAGGGAAACCAAGGCACAGAGTGGTGAGCTGATTTGCTCACAGTCACCCTGCCAGGAAGTAGTGGGACCAGGATGTGCACAGGACATGTGACTCCGAGTCCATGCCCAAACCCTGGGCCTTGCTGAGGCCATCGGAGGTCAGATTCATGGCCTCTTTTCCTCCAGCAGCCAGCAGGAAGCGAGGGGAGCCCCTCATCATCTCTGACATCAAGAAAGGCAGCGTGGCACACAGGTGGGGCGCCCTGGGCACAGAGTGCGGGGAGGCAGCCTGCAGGCTGGGTACGGTGCCTGCATGTGCCAGCGTCCTTCCACCCCCTGTTGCCTACTCCTGTAGGACAGGCACCCTTGAGCCAGGCGACAAGCTGCTGGCCATTGACAATATCCGTCTGGACAACTGTCCCATGGAGGATGCGGTGCAGATCCTGCGGCAGTGTGAGGACCTGGTAAAGCTGAAGATCCGGAAGGACGAGGACAACTCTGGTATGGCCCCACCCCCTTTTGAAGGCCACCCTCTGGATCAGCAGGTTCCCAGCTTGCAATTCAGGGCTCCCTCTGGCCGAGGAAGGGAGGGCTGGCAAACGGAGGAGGGCAGCACCACAGACTTCCCTGGGGTCTGGGGCCTTCCAGAGTCTCTGTGAGGTCCCTGGAAGTTTGAGACACTCCCGTAAGCCCAGCACTAAGCTCAGCAGAGGAGAGTCTTGGGCAGGGGAGTGGGTAGGATGGGGAGTGAATGAGGCTGCACTGTTGAGTGGGGCTATGTGGGTGGACAAGCAACCTCTGCAGCCTCAAGCCTCACTGAGGCCAGAAGAACAGAAAAATTATACAGAGAGGCAGTAGGGAGCACTGAGGACTATGGCAACTGGAGCTTGACTGTCTGATTCAAAAGGGCAGGCACCAAGTCCCACCCCGAGAAAAAGAGTTACTGTGGGCAGATTTCTTATTTTTTTAAGAAAAGCTGTAAATCTGTTTTCTTATGTTCATCATCATCACCATCATCATTACCATCATTGTGACTCAAATTGTGGGTGGTGTGTGAAATTTGTATTTTAAAATGTTGGTTCCATGTTTCTCTTCTACTTTTTTTTTTTTTTTCCAATGATGTTTGGGCAGAAGGAAATATTTCTGGAGGCAGAAGATGTCCTCAGGGTTTCCAGGTTGTGCCATCTGAAATCATGGCATGAGTGACAGGGTGAATGAGGGGATAGATAAGTATGGGTGAGCGAGTGGGTGTGAAAACTGCGGGGCCTTGGGGGTGTCCAGCTCCTGGCCCCACCTCGGGCCTTGCCCCTCATGGGTGCCCCTCACCCCACCCCACAGATGAGCTGGAGACCACAGGTGCTGTCAGTTACACAGTGGAGCTGAAGCGATACGGAGGTCCCCTGGGCATCACCATCTCCGGCACAGAGGAACCGTTCGACCCCATTGTCATCTCAGGCCTCACCAAGCATGGTCTGGCTGAGAGGTGAGCCAGGGCTCTCCGAGGACACAGGCTGGGCCGTGGGACCCCAGGGAGTGGGAGCTGGGCTTTGGAACGAGCTGAGTGACATTGGGCCAGTCACTTTCCTCTGAGCCTCAGGTCCATAGGATAAAATGAGAGTGCTAGCTCTCAGCAGACCTTCTGGCCCCAGGTAAGTGCTGGATCAAGGTATGTCCATCCTTCTGTTCCCTTCTGACCTAGGTTTCTGGAAGATCAGCACTGCAGTGTTTTCTGAAACACCAACTATATGCTGGATAGTTAGGGGTAGCGCCCCGGCACCCAGGTCCCAGCACAGACTGGGGCTTGTCCTGAGGCATTGGTATCTGCTCCTGTTACCCCCTGTCCTAGGAAGAGTCCCTGAAACTGTGTCAGCAGAGGGACTGTGATGAGGGGGATATCCCAGCTGTGCCCCAAGCTGTCCTAGGGTAGGGGTCAGAGGTGGAACTGAGCCCCAGGGTGGGCAAGACCAAGCTTCCTCTTGACCACTGTGCAAGGAAACGTGAGCTTCCAGCACAGTGAGGCAAGAATCTGGCTGTGAATGAAGGTTGGGGAGGGCTGCAGGGGCAGGAGGATGGGAAGGATTTCGGGGCTTGAGGGTTCGGTGAGACAGCCCGTTCTGAGAGCTCCCCCTGCTGGATATCTGGCAGACTGCAGAGATCAGTGTGGGACCCTGCTGACTCCAAATGTCCACTGGAGACCAGCTGTGCCCCTGCCATCCTGGGTGTTAGAGGCCCACAGACCACCAGCCTTGCCTTCACCAAGCTGATATGGCTCAGTGCTATCCAGATGAAATTTAAGTCTAGCTGAAAAATTTAATCATAACATTTTTAGTAGTCACATTCAGAAAATAAAAAGAAATAAAATTCATCTTAAATATGTGTTTACGTCAACATGTAATCAGTATAAAAATTATTGATGAGGGGCAGCGCCTGTGGCTTAAGGAGTAGGGCACCGGCTCCATATGCCAGAGGTGGTGGGTTCAAACCCAGCCCCGGCCAAAAACTGCAAAAAAAAAAATTATTGATGAGATATTTAATATTCTTTTGTTCATACTACATCTTCAAAATGTGGTGCATATTTTACACTCGGCACATTTCAATTCAGTCCAGTTATGTTTCAGGGGCTCAGTAGCCACGCATGGCTGGTGGCTGCCACACAGGACAGCACGGATTTTAATCCACTCCCTGAATCCACCATTCCCAGACTTGCTTCCCCTCCCCCGCCCCCCCCACCAGCCAGGACCCCAGGGAGCATGCTGGGCAATGCCTGGGAGCGCCAATGCACTCTGGAGCTCCTAGCTGGGGTTCAAGACCCCTGACCCCAGTCACCTGCCTCTCCACTCTGGGAAAGGTTCATTCTCACACCTGCTGTGGCTTCTCCCCTCTCAGCCCTAGTTGCTCCTCAGAACACTATCCTACTCCCACCTTGGTCAGGAGTGGAGACCAGGCACCTACATTTTCAGGTGCTCCTCAGGTAAATATAATAGGTGTCCAGGTAGAAAACCACTGAGCCAGAGGAATTTTACTCCTGACCTTATCAGCACCTCACAGCACCTGCTGTGAGGTCAGCACTTGTGGGGAAACTGAGGCCCAGGAAGATGGAAGGGCTACCAAGGGTTTCTGCTGGAGGGAAATATGAATCATTGTATCAATGCATCCCTCAATTATAACTTGATAATAAAATAAGTATTGTCACCTCCATTTTACAGATGGAGGAACTGGAACTCAGAGAAGTTAAGAAACTGACCCAAGATCAGATAGAGTATTTGGCGGCTAATACTTGGGATTTAAACCATTCTCAAAACTCATGGACACTGGTTCCAGCACCTAACTTTTAAGTCAGGCAGGATAATTCCCACCCAGAGTCTAGACTTGTTATACCTCTATTAAAACAATTCAAGATCACACTTGGCTTTTTTCAGCTAGTTTAACTAGGGTCTGCCAGGCTGTGTCTTAGGGGCCCCCTGGGTTCCCTGAGGGCATATTCCATCTCTGAGGAACTGAGTGTCTGGCTCTCATTCTCTGTCCTGTGCTCACAACTCAGGACCGGTGCCATCCATGTGGGGGACCGCATCCTGGCCATCAACAGTGTTAGCCTCAAGGGCCGGCCGCTGAGTGAGGCCATCCACCTCCTGCAGGTGGCTGGAGAGACTGTCACACTGAAGATCAAGAAGCAGCTAGACCGTGAGCTTTGCTCCATGTCCGGGGGCCACCTAGCCTATTTCGGAAGGGCCCTCCCTCTGTGCCTCTGTGCCAGGCTTTGCATGTGCGGCCTCACGGGATCCTTGCCATAATGCTGTGGGGGGGGGGGGTGCCTGGGATGGCTGAGGAGATGAGACTCAGTGAAGGGAGTGATGAGCACAAGGTCAAACGGCTGGTGCGGGGCGGCATCTGTGTCTCAGCCGCTTCTTCATTACTTCCTGCCTCCTAAGGTGCTCGTGTGTGCTCCACGGTCACGACCTGTGCATGCTGCAGTTTCCCCGAATATGTTCCCGTGCCTCGGTAGGGAGGCCACCACCTGCAGGGGAAGGAGCCCGAGTTCTGGGATTTCCCTTCTAATCTGGGCTTCACTGCACTTACCGTGTGACCTTGGACATGTTGTTCTGCTGCCCCTAGCCCCAGTTTTCCCATCTGTGAAACAGGTGTGCTTACAATGTGCCACACCCACAAGTCAGCTGTAGGCTCAGCCATGGCTCAGTGCCTGTGAGTCCCAGAACAGGCTGAAATGGGGACTCTGAGGCTCTCTGAGTATCCCCATGTTTCTGAGGTCAGAGATGATGCCTCCCTTTTTGCTCCTAGGTCCTCTCCTACCACCCAAGTCGGGCAGCCTCAGTGAGGCCAGTGATGCAGATGACGACCCACCGGAGGCCCTCAAAGGAGGCCTTCTGTCAGCTCGGTTCTCGCCTGCTGTGCCCAGTTTGGACAGTGCTGTGGAGTCCTGGGATAGCTCAGCCATAGAGAGTGGCTTTGGGGGCCCAGGTAATGGCTTGGGGACCTTGGACAAGTAATGTGCTTTCTCAGGGCTGCCTCCACTGCTGGGCCTGCGAAGGGGCTGTCCCCTCTGCCCATTCTTCCTTCTTGCCCCTCCTCTCCTAGCTGGCCCCCTCCTTTAGGGATACCACCAGAAGGAAGGCCTGATTTGGCACTGTCAGCCACTTTCTGTGCCCCTTGATCCTCCATAGCACAGGCTGCAGACACATCTTTTGGTTAAGATCCATAGCCCTCCACTGGTTATACATGTTTCCTTGCCTTGAGGTGAGTTGGTCTATCCTCTGCCATCTCCCTCATTCCTAGCATGATAGCTGGCCCACAGCAGGTGCTCAGCCAGTGTTCACCTGGTTGCAGATGGGAAGGCAAAAAGCCCTTTCCCATTCTATGCTACAAGACTTAGCTTGGGGTGGACACCTCTGGGCACCCTTCCCTGCCCTTACATGTTGAGACCCGTGGTGGCCTCAGAGGAGGTGTGTGACCTCATGGCCTTGGTGACCCAGAGCCATGGGAATTCTAGGATCTAACAGAGTAAGGCCTCCAGGGGACCTTGGTGGCTCCTAGCCATCCTCACTTACTGGACTGCTGGCCTCTCTGGGTTTCAGCCTCCTGTCTTGAGGTCTTGGTCAACAGACCTTAGCTCAGTCCCTGAGGCTGGACTTCAGCTTCTAAAGGCAGGAGGTAGAGGAGGATACTCAGGCTCTCTTCCTGGCAGGATGTGGGCCTGCCCAGCCCAATGGACTTGGGACAGGGTCCTAGCACCCTAAGCATTAAACTTGCCATGAGATGACCAGGGGATTGGGGGGGTCTTGAGAGGGGGAGCAAGGCCCTTGGGGGGTGCTGGGTAGTCACACAGACCCAAAAGGAGCAAAGAGCTATCCAGGGTCACCCAGCATGGCTGGAAATGGGACAAGGTGAGGATGCCAAGAATGCAGATGGCCCCTTCTCCCCACCTGCCAGGTTCCTACACTCCCCAGGTGACAGCCCGGAGCATAACCCCCCAGGAGTGGCGGCCCAGCCGGCTAAGGAGCAGCCCCCCACCCACTGAGCCCCGAAGGACGAGCTATACCCCAGTTCCTGCTGATGAGAGCTTCCCAGAGGAGGAGGAAGAGGAAGATTGGGAACCACCAGCGAGGTCTGTGGTGGGAACACCATGGAGGAGGAGGTGGTCGTGGTCCCTTGGCTAGGCCGGGGGAGGGTAGCCAGTTCCTGTGCCAAAGCACTGTTGAGTGGAAAGTCTGGTCTGGCCCCTGAGGAGGGCACCACTGGGGAAGAGAAACTCAGCAGAGGCCCCTTGGCCAGGCTGAGATGCAGGAAACAGCATTCCGTGTAGGACACAGTGGAGGCAAAGGGTGGAGGTGGAAAACAGCCCCATTTTCCATTCCCAGTCTGGTAATCTGTTCTTAGAAGGCCATCAGCAGACTCAGAACTGGGACCCAGACTCCCCTGACTTAGCCCAGACCATCTGACAGGCTATGGGCCCTTTGGCTGCCTGCTACCAGCCCTGGGCTGTGATGTGTCTGGAGGACACATCTGCTGAGAGCAGGCACTGGGGAAAAACACTGCTCTCTGTCTGGCCCCAGACGCCCCCTCTCATCTCTGTACTTTGGATCAGGCTGTTCCTTCTGCCTCGAATGCTTTTGCTCGATCTTTCCTGGTAAACTACTCATCCCTCAAAACTCAGTTCAAATTCCCCTGCCTCTGGGAAGCTCCTTGGACCTTCTCGGGCAGAAGCAATTCCTCCCTCCCTCCTCTGGTACCCACAGCTATTCCTGCAAGCTTCCTGGTGGCACTGGCCACTTTGTGTCTGCCTGGATAGTCACTTGGCTGTCATCTCTTCTATGTGGCAGGCTAGCTCAGTGCCCAGCTCAGAGTAGGCACTTATATGCATGTCTTGTGAATGAATCTCCAACTCCTTAAGAATGTCATGGGGAGGTGTCACACACCTTACTCCCTTCCATATCCCAGTGCCCAGCAGAGCTTAGCTCATGGAATGTTTTTATACTTGCCTTGATTGGAGCAAATGGCCTTGGGCCCAGTTGTCTCATCTGTAAAATGTAAAGGGGAGGAGGTAACTAGTTAGTCCTCACAGCTGAGGCTCCTAAGAGCGTAAAGCCTGCATGCCTTTCTGAGAGAGAAAGTACTCTGCAAACCATAGCATGGCTTATAAACATCAAGGACTTTGTAAAATGGCAAGTGGCTTTGTGAAAATGTCAACTGTTACCTGTCTGAGACTCAATGTAAGAGCTGATAATTAGCTCATACAACCTGCGATAGAAGTTATGGGTGGTCTCAGCCGTCCCCAGCACAAGTGTTCCTTCCTCTCCATCCATCTGTGTCCTAGCTGGCTCCAGTCTGTCCCTGTCCCTGTCCCACAGTGCCATGTGTCTGGGTGGGGTCAGGGCTGTTCTCTGGGGCTATACCATGGATCTCCTCTTTGTCTGTTCGTCTGTCTGTTGGTCTGTCTCTCTTCCCAGGCGTACTGTGTCACCGCTCTCCACCCCGTCTCATCTACCCTTGTTCTAACTGGCCACCGACAGTCCTGGTCGCCCTTAACCACGTCTTCCCCCTATTTTGTGTCACCAACCACTGCCCTGGGGCCCCAGAACTGCCACCGAGGACGCCCGCCCGCCTGCCTGCCTGCCCATCCTATGGCCCCCTGAGCCCAGCGTTGGGCCCTGGAGCCCCGAAGACTCCTCAGGCCCCAGCCCACCCGCCTGCCTGCCTGTCCACCTGTCCACCAGGAGTTGACGCTCTCTGGTTCCTACGTTACAGCCCAGCCCCTGGCCCTGCCCGAGAGGAGGGCTTCTGGCGTGTGTTCGGTGAAGCCCTTGAAGACCTGGAGTCATGTGGTCAGTCAGAGCTGCTGAGGGAACTGGAGGTATTGCACCTGTCCCGAGGCCTGTGTGGGGGCACCTGGGTCTGGGCACGCTGGTGTGTGTGCCATGGGAGGCAGGCATGTTGATGTAATGTGTGTATGCTTGCATTCATCTGGGCACCCTCTGTGTAAAGGGGTCTTCACACACACAGAGGCTGTGCATGGACACATGTGCAAGTGTGTGCAGTGTGGTATTGCACATGAGGTATGTGGATGTGTGTGCATTGAGAGCATGTATGTATGCATGCGTGTGAGCATGTCCACATACAGAATCTCTCTTCAGAACATATGTGTCTGAGTGTGCATGTTTCGGTGGCTGTTATCTGTGTGGGGATGTGCAGTATGTACATGTGGTTGTGGGCATGCCCCGTGGAAGGGTGAGAGTATTGATATCAGTGAAGACCTGGGAGATGAGGATCCATGGGAGACCTGCGGTGAATGCAGCTTTGTGTAAAGTCACCATTGCCCGTGATGGAATAGACTGCCCAGGGACATCTAGAGAACATTAGTGAGGCCTCTGTCACAGAGCACTTCTATTCTGAGATCAATTTGATTTCATTTAAGTCTTCACTTTATCTGTGTTTTTCCCCCTTTATATTCCTAATATTATTGATTGGAGTAATTTTTTTCCCCATCAGTTTTGCCAACCGCTATGTTCTTTGAAGAACCAGTGTTTGGTTTTGTTCCTTAGGTCTCATGTTTCATTATTTTCTATTTTATTCATTTCTGTGGTTAGGTTTGAATACTCTTCCTTTTTAGTTTATTTATAGTTAAGTAATGATACTTTTCCTAGTTTCTTAGCTATTTAATTTTTAGTCTTTTGGGGGGGGGTCTAACATAGTGAACTTTTTTAAAGCTATGAATTTTCCTGTAAGCACTGCTTTGGCTGCATCCCACCAGTTTTGATTTGTGGGACTTTTTGGGGGGGGGTCAGGGCTGGGTTTGAACCACCACCTCCTGCATATGGGGCCGGCACCCTACCCTTCTGAGCAACAGGTGCTACCCATGATTTCTGATACTTTTATTATTCATTCAAATTCAAATATTTTAAAGATTTCTGCTGTCATTTTTACTTATGGAAGTGGAATTTCTTAAAATTTTGAATTACATATTTTTGTTTTGTTTTTGTTTTAGCCCAATTTTAAAAGCCGATTCAGGGCAGTGCCTGTGGCTCAAAGGAGTAGGGTGTTGGCCCCATATATCGAAGGTGGCAGATTTGAACCCAGCCCTGGCCAAAAAAAAAAAAAAAAAAGAGCCAATTCATATTGATTTGTATTGGCCAGAAAATGTGTTCAATTTGATAGTACTTCTTTGGAGATTTTAAAGACTTCTTTCTTTAGAATTTTTTGTTAGTAATATGATAAAAGGCCCCTCGTGATTGTGAATTTGGCAATTTCTCCTTGACAGTCTATTAATTTTTGTTTTCTATCTTTTGAGATTTTATTGTTAGTTACATATAAATTCATGATTTCTATAACTTCTTAGTAAATTTTCCTTTCTATCATTAATCAGTATCTTTACCTCTATGTGCTTTCCACCTTAAATTAAATTTCATTTTGTCCCATAATAATGTTATTACATATAAACTTATTTTAGTAGTTACTTACCTGTCTTACTTATTTTCAAATTTACCATATCACTGTTTTAAGTGCATCTGTTGTGTATTATACACAGCTGATTGTCTTTTCATTAAAGACAAATTTAGTCTATTTATTTTTATTGTGATTACTAATATAATGTTAATTCTAGCATACAATTTATACTTCCTATTTATCTTGTTTTTTATACTTATCCTGATTATCCATCTTTTCTTTTTTCCTTTTGATAAATTTTCATTCCTGTTCACTTTCTTCACAGCCTCCAATCTGGAGATTTAAAATTTCATTTGTAGTATTTTAAGGAGTATCCTTAACTCATTTCATTTTTTATTTTTTGCTTTTTAACATTAAATTTTTACATTTAAAACTCTTCATTATTTTAGAAGTGCTACATATGTATTATGAAAAATTAGATAAGCAAGTTATAATCAAAAGTAAAATAAGTAAAAATAAAACATAATAATACAACATTTCCCCCACCCACAGACTACCACTGTTACTGCTTAAATGAATATATAGGTATTTTAAAAATAATGAGATTGTGATGTACATACTGGGTTTTTTTTAAATTTTGCTTTCATTTTCTTTTCTTTCTTTCTTCTTCTTCTTTTTTTTTTTTTTTTATGGAGACAGAGTCTCACTTAGTGACCCTCAGTAGAGTACCATGGAATCATAGCCCACAGCAACCTCCACCGACCCCTGGGTCCTTGGGTTTAAGTGATTCTCTAGCCTCAGCCTCCCAAGTAGCTGGGATTACAGGCGCCTGCCAGAACACCCAGCAATTATTTGGTAGAGACAGTGTCTCACTCTGGCTCATGCTGGTCTCGAACCTCTGAACTCAGGGCACTCCACCCGCCTGGGCCTCCCACAGCGCTGGGACAACAGGCATGAGCAACCACACCTGGCCTACATAGTGTTTTTTAATTTGCTTTTGCAGTCACCTACTCCATGTCTTCATTATATTTTAATCTCTTTTAATACAAAGATCATATTCAGAATTCAGATTTCCTCAGTTGGACCCAAACTACCCTTTATATTTGGTTTGTCCAGACCAATGTTTAATTATCTGTGCTTAAACCTGGTTGTTATGTCCGTTAAGTATCTTTTAATTTTAGTCCAGTGCCTTTTTAATGATACTAACTTTAATTTTTTTGTTTATCAAGATAAAATTCACATATAATAATTACCATTTTAATCAGTTTAAAGTATACAATGTAGTGGCTTTAGCAATCATCACCACTATCTATTTCTAGAACGTTTCTCGTACCTAGAAATTAAACGTTGTACATCCCAGTTCCTCCTTCCTCCCGTCCTGTGACTGTCCCTGTGTACTTTCTATCTCTGGATTAGTTTATTCTGCATAGTTCATAAAAGTGGAGACATGCACTCAGTGGCCTTTTGTGTGTGGCTCTCTTCACTTAGCTTCATGTTGTAGCATGTGTTAGTACTTCATTCTTTTTTAAGGCCAAATAATATTCCATTATATAGCTATATACCACAACGCTGAGTTTTTTAAATAACCAGACCAGTTGACCCTGCCTTAAAATTTCAACATCTTTTCTTAAGTTGGTTTTTCTAACAATGTCTAATTAAAACTTTTGTCCTCCTCGTGAAGAAAACAGTTCCTATAGAATACTTTCACTTCTCCCCAAACTGTCTCATGTTCCAACTTGTTTATAAATTACTCAAAATTCAGGAATGTGGGGTCTTATCAGAATTTTTGGCCAGTTTCTTTGCTTATCATTTCTTCTTTTTTCTTCTGGGTTCATCCTTTAAGATTTTCTCTCATGAAGAGTATCTTAGGTTTTGTGTTCTTAAAATGTCTTTATTTCACCCCCAGCTCATAAAAGATATTTTAGCTGACTATGAAGTGAAAACTTTACTCAGGACTTTGAAGATACGACTCCGTTGTCTCTGGCAACTGTTATTGTTGCTGTTAAGACATGTTCTTTTAAAAGTAATGTGTCTTTGGCGTCATAGCTCACATAGCCCTAAGCTTTGGGCTTAGGTGGTTCTCTTGCCTCAGCCTCCAAATTTAGTCTATTCATATTTATTGTGATTTATTGTGTAGCTGGGACTCCAGGTGCCCACCACAACGGCCAGGTATTTTTTTGTTGCAGTTTGGCCGGGGCTGGGTTTGAACCCACCACCCTCTGTATATGGGGCTGGCACCCTACCCACTGAGCCACAGGCACCACCCAGTCTTTCTAGTAACTTTGAGGATTTCTCTTTCTCTGTGATAGTTTGCTCTTTTGCTCTGATGCCTCAGTGAGAGTTTGCTTTTATATGTCTTACTAGAAACTTAGTCTGTTTTTTCAGTCTGAAGAGTTGTGTTTTCCTTTCATGCTAGAAAATTCCTAGTCATTTTATTTTAAATATTGCCTCCCTCTTGTTTCCTCCTTCTGGACTTCTGTTAGGTGTGGATCGGGCACCTGTTATTCATGCATTATAATTCCGTGTCTTTTAACTTTTTATACAGATTTTCTCTGTTCTAGGTATTGTTTTCCTTAATTGGTCTTTTAACTAATTAATATAATGTTATATTAATTCTCTCCTTGGCTATATTTATTCTACTTTTAACCCATTCTTATATTGTGTTTCAGTTTCTAAATATTTTATTCCTACAGTTTGTTTTTCAGATCTTTGTAGTCCAATTAAAATGTCTTTTGCTTTTCATTTTTTCTTATTTTTCTGCAATTTTAAATAGATTTGCTTAAAGTTTCTCCTGCTTTCTTTATTATTTCTACTTCCCTGAGTGTGAATTCACCTACTTGTTATGTCCATGGGAAGGTGGGCTTTTTGTTTTTCTTTTCTTTTTGAGATCGAGTTTCACTTTGTCATCCTTGGTTGACTGCTGTAGTATCATAGCTCACAGCAACCTCTAACTCTTTTTTTTTTTTTTTGAGACAGAGCCTTAAGCTATCCCCCTGGGTAGAGTGCCGTGGCATTACAGCTTACAGCAACCTCCAATTCCTGGGCTCAAGCGAGTCTCCTGCCTCCGCCTCCCAAGTAGCTGGGACCACAGGCGCCCGCCACAACGCCCGGCTATTTTTTGGTTGCAGCCGTCATTGTTGTTTGGCGGGTCCGGGCTGGGGATTTGAACCTGCCACTTTAGGTGTATTTGGCTGGCGCCTTAGCCGGTTGAGCTATAGGCGCCGAGCCAACCTCTAACTCTTGAACTCAAGCAATTCTCTTGCTTCAGCCTCCCAAGTAGCTGGGGCTATAGGCGCCTGCCACAATGCCCAGCTATTTCTTAGAAATGGGGTCTCGCTCTTGCTCAGGCTAGTCTTGAACCTGTGAGCTCAGGTAATCCACCCACCTAGGCCTCCCAGAGTGCTACAGGCTTGAGCCACCACACCCTACAAGGTGGGCTTTTTCACCTCATTATTCCACTTGCTTCCAGCCATGGTACCTCCCCTAGGTACTCCACTTGTGCTCTGTGCTGTTGAAGAGTCTCTGAAGTAATTCCTCTTGTGTTTTTGCTGGGGCCTTTGAATGTCACCGATTGACAGACCAGTTTTGACATTAATTTCTTGCCTGAGTATTTCTGTGCTATTGCAGAAGGCGGATTCTAGCCTCACAGTCATGCAGAGGTCAAGCTAAGGGGTCTAGTCTGTTGTAAGTGATTTCTCAACCAAATTTAGTCCTGCTGGCTCCCTTCTATACCCTGTGATGTGGACAGAAGTTTTGTCTCCCTGGCTTCTCTTTCCTCGCGATGGCACCCTAGCTCCTACATTCACATCTGGTTCTGTACCTACAAGCCACTGGTTCTACTCCTGCTCAGGCCTGTCTCTGAATTTCTTTTCTTACCTTCCAAGTGTTTATTTAAAAGATTTTTTAAAATCTACAACCTCTATGTGTTTGGAAGGAGACGTGAACTTCCTGTATCAGCTCAGTCTGCATTTTTAACTGGAAAGTCTGGAATTCCACAATTGTGGGGGCCAAGAGGAGGTAGTACCTGTCCTCCTTGATTCTGTGTTTTAATTATTCTTCTGTCTGAGCCTGAGTCTCTTTTCTTTCCTCTTGAACCCCCACTCTCCAGGAAGGGGAGGACCAGTTGTAAGATGTGAAAAGTGCCTTCCTGTCTCCTCCTCACCCAGTAACCTTTCGCCTGTTTTCCCATCTTCTTCCCCACTGCACCTGCACAGTTTGGTCTTGAGAAAGTTGCTATCTTAATTTGCCTCCCCTCAGAGGGTCTCTGAAAGACCAAAATTCCTCCTCCTATGTCAGACAGCCCTGTAGACTAATAGTGGAAACTCAGATGTTGTGATGGGCGGGGGGAGATCTTTTAAGTCTGGGGAAATACCTGTGTACCTAGGAGATCCTGTGATATCCCATGCAAGGAGCCCATGCTCCTGGCCTGTGGATTTCCAGTCGGAATGTGAAGACATCTCCCTCAGGGCTACAAACTCGCAGCACTTAGCTTCTAGCTGGGTGGCATTTCTGCCTCTGCACGCCCCTCCCTCAGTGTGTCTGTCCACCTACCTCTGAGACATGTTACAACTCTGCTCATTCTCTCTTTCCCCACCATCACCATCCCTAGCCAGAATACCCTGTCTTTTTTTTTTTTTTTTTTGAGACAGAGCCTAAGCTGTCCCCCTGGGTAGAGTGCCATGGCATTACAGCTCACAGCAACCTCCAACTCCTGGGCTCCAGCGAGTCTCCTGCCTCAGCCTCCCAAGTAGCTGGGACTACAGGCGCCCGCCACAACGCCCAGCTATTTTTTGGTTGTAGTCATCATTATTTGGCGGGCCCGGGCTGGATTCGAACCCGCCACCTTAGGTGTATGTGGCTGGCGCCTTAGCCACTTGAGCCACAGGCGCCGAGCCAATACCCTGTCTTTTGCTTTGACAACTCCCTGGTCCCCATCAGGTCTCCCTCCCAGCCTCCATTCCTACCTCTGCAGTCCAGTCTCCATGTGGCAGCTGGAAGATGCTTCTAGATGTACACATCTGACCATGTTGCTTTCCCCACTCCTGCTTTGATCCTCCAGGGTCTCTCTGTTGCTCTTGGGAGAAAGTTTGCATTTCTTTTTCTTTCTTTCTTTTTTTTTTTGCAGTTTTTGGCCAGGGCTGGGTTTGAACCCACCACCTCTGGCACATGGGGCCAGCACCCTACTCAAGTTCACATTTCTTACTGTCGTCTATAGGCTTTGCGCGTACTGTTCCCTCTGCTGAGGGCTTTCTTCCACCCACACCTCTTCTATCTTATCTTTCAGATTTCAGCTCTAGAAGTTTTCCTACACCTGACACCAAACCAGGGCCATCTATCCTAGGCTCTCACTTCCTGTGTACCTCACCTCTGTAACACTTACTGCAGTGTATAGTTTGAGATTAACGGTATAGCAGAGGAATTAAGAGCCCTGACTTTGGAGCTTAGAGCTTATCTCTCTAAGCCTCAATTTCCTCATCTGTAAAATGGGGGGAAATGGTATTCACCCACCTTTTTCTATGATCCAGAATGAGTTATATGTGTAAAGTCCTGAGAACTGAGCTAACAGAGTAAGTGCTAATAATTAAGCACCAATGATTAATTATTCTGACTGTTCGTCTGACCCTGCACCCGGCCACCTGAGCCACAGGGGCAGGGACCACGTTTATCCTCTTCACCACTGTGACCCTTGAGGTAGACAGATAGTGAGTCTCCGACACACAGATGCTGACTGCCTGACGGAACCAGTGAATGAGCATCTGAGAGAAGGGCTGTGTCCCCACAGGCCTCCATCATGACGGGCACTGTGCAGAGTGTGACTCTTGAGGGCAGGCCCGGCCGGCAGCCCCGGCGCAGGGGCCAGGAGATACGAGCTTCCCCGGAAGAGATGCAGGAGCTGCTGCTGCCGACACCCTTGGAGATGCACAAGGTGGGCACCGGGGGCCTGGACCCACCACAGGACTCATGAAGGGCCCTGCTCCTTTCTGGGTTTTATTCTTCCCCATCATCAAACAGGGATTTTCTACTTCTGTCATTTGCCTGACACACACAGGCTTGTGATATTCAGTAGGCTGTTCATATTTTTCTTTAAGTAGATTCATTTTTTCCTATGTATTTTGTATCTATATATATGTACACACACACACATATATGCTCACACATACAACACGCACGTGTATTATAGTACGTGTGTTTACACATCACTTTCACACCTTTACATCACTACTTAAAATGAGAAGCTGCCGTCTGTGCCTTGTATCAGTCCCTATAAAACATGAAACATGGAGGAGCACAGCCTCTAGCCCGGCAGCCTCAGACGCCTCTGTGCCTGGGGCCAGCTCTTTGGCCAATGCAAGGTGAGCAAGTGTTAGGGGTGGGAAAAACACACTGGAAGACTTTCTCCCTGATGAAAGCAAGAGGAGCAAGAAAGAACCGGCAGGGAGAGCATTCCCATGAGACTCTTGCATGCTGGGAGTGGAAGATGCTGGTGGAGAGGAAGGGCTGGTGCATGGGCAAAGGCTCTGGGCAGGATGCAGTGAGGCCTGGGGTTGCAGCCAGCAGGGCCCAGGTCCCAGGGGCACTGCATGCCAGACCAAGGGACTTGGCTACTGTGGGAGGTTGGGGCAAGGGCCAGCGTTCCAGGGCCCTCCTCCTCCTCTGCTCTCAGGTGACCCTGCACAGGGACCCCATGCGGAATGACTTTGGTTTCAGCGTATCAGACGGCCTCCTGGAGAAGGGCGTCTATGTGCACACTGTGCGCCCTGATGGGCCAGCCCAACGTGGGGGCCTCCGGCCCTTCGACAGGGTCCTTCAGGTAATGTTGGGACACCACAGCCTGAGGGTGGGGAAAGAGCCCCACTCCTATCATCTGTGAAAAAGAATGACAACACAAGTTGTATTAGTCAGCTTAGCCTTAGTTACATCGCAGGAACAAACCACCCCAACCCTACGATTGAACATGCACAAACTTTTATTTATGACTTGCAATCCATGTCCACTGTGGGCTGACATAGAGCCAGCTCCACCTGGGCTGATGGAGGAGCCACTCATCTTGTAATTGTCCTGAGACTCATGGATTCCTCAGACTCCACTGAGGGAACAAGATGGAAAATTGCACCTGGGATTTTTTTCTGCCTTCACGCAGAAGCAACACTTGTCACATTCCTTCATAACCTATTGGCCAAAACCAGTCACGTGACCAGCCTCACTGCAAAGGAGCCTGGGAAATGGGAGGCATCCCAAGCTGGGCCACCCTTTCCCAGCTTGGGAGGCCGCCCACGACTACTTCTGTGAGGTTTTTGTCCCTATTTATGCTAAATGTACTTAATTCATCTTTTCTCTAAATTGATGAGGCTTTTCCAACTTACGTTTATTTTAAAAGGAAACTTTTTGGTCTCAATGAAGAATGAGAACCAACACCCCTTGGTTGAATAGAAAGTCAGTGTGAAAGACAAATAAAAGAGAAACAAGTGATGTCACAAAATTCTGGGCAGGAGGCTCCCTGGGCAGGTGGCCTGAAGCTGTTAGAGGGGAATGAAAGACACATTAGCATCTGCCTGGGACTTTCTCTGGTAAAACTTAAGCAGAAGGATTAAAGAGGGTTCAGTAAAGAATGACCTCTGTGTGTGAGTGTTGGAGATGGACCCTTGTGTCAGGGCTGGGCAAGGCCCACAGTTTAGGAGCTCACATGATTCTCACCCCCTCCCACCCAGCTGAGCTGACGCCTTGGCTCTGTCCCTCTGGCTGTGCACCGTGCAGGTCAACCGCATTTGCACACGGGACTTCGACTGCTGTCTGGCAGTGCCACTCCTGGCTGAGGCGGGCAACGTCCTGGAGCTGGTCATCAGCCGTAACCCACTGGCACAGGGCAGCCGAGCCCCCCGAGCGCCAGGTCCCAGCAGCCCCCGGATGCTCTGAAGTCAGCATATAGTCCTGGACTCCAAAGGGAGCACACAGGCAAATCCTGGCTCCCGATCGTGGCTGGCCTGGGGAAGTGGCCACTCACACATCCATCTGTGGTCTGGCAGGCCCTGAGCCAAGGATGAAACTTGTTTCTGGTCCCTGGTTCTATGGTGACGGGAGTTCTAGGCAGTGAGGTCCCTGCCCCAGTTGCAGTAACATCTGGGTCTTTCACCAACTTGGGTCTCCAAGATGCCCAGAGGAGCCCACATGAGATGGGTTGGGGACAGATTGCTCAGCTCTGAGAGGAGAGACCTGGGGGCTGCCTCAGCTCCCTGCAGGGCTTCCTTGGAGAGGTTCTAGGTGTGGGGAATACCTCCTCAGTGTCAGGAGCCTTTTCTCCTGACATAGCCATGGATGTGGAATGAGCTGCCTGGTAGGAGTGAGTTCCCTGTCACAGGAGGTTAGCAACCAGGAACTGGGTACCCCCAGTGCAGTCAAGAGCTGAGGTGTGAGGCGTCCCTGTGGTATAGTGACACTGGCTCAGGTAGTTAGCTTCCTCCCAGGGGAGCCACTCCATCCAGAGACCTGTCAGCATGTCTGGGTGGGAGCCCAGCTCCTTCCCTTCTCCAGAACTCTGGTGTTTGGGGTTTGCCAGTTGAGACCCTATAATTCTAAGTGTCTCATCTTCACCTAAGAGACTGTGAGCTCAGGCGCCCTTTGATCCTGAAAGTGGGTGATTTGTCATCCCAGCATCTTGGTCCAATATTTCTGTGATTTGAGATGTGGCTCTGGGCCCACTTGGCAGGCTCAGAGTCAGGCCTTGGGCTGTCAGCGCCTCCTGCTTCTTTTATGGGACATGTGGCAGCTGATCTGGCCACACTGTCTTCTCTCAGCCCAAGCCTGTGTGGAAGGGAGTCATTTTGGGACAAAAGACCCAGGAGCTTCCATTCACCCGCCATTCCAATGAAGATTGGAAAACCATGGGAACAGGATATGCAAGATGATACAGCTCCTTTCCCATATCTGAATCAGAGGAGGAGAAGGAGAAGGAGAGAGAACAGAGACGGAGGGAGAAGACAGACAGAAGATGGCATTTTCTCAGACCCGATGGAAACAATGCCCGAAGTGGTCATTCAAGGAAGTTTATTCCCGCTTGAAATCTGGAAGCACCAGCATCCCTTAAAACCATTTCCCTCAGTTTCAACAAACCAGAAACTCTTTTCATTTGAAAAAGGCCCTAGACCTCCACCTGAGGTCTGGAGTGCAGCCCCTAAGATGGAGGTGGGTAGGTGGGGTTTAGCCAGATCTGGGGATTGCCTTTGCCCTGACCCAGCTCTTAAAGTGGGGTCTCAGGAAAGCAGGAGGTGCCATCTGCACCACTGGGGCCCCTGAAGGTCAGAAAATCACTCTTCAAGGGACCAGAGAGGGACTGAAGAGGCCTGTTCTTTCCAAACGTGAGTCTGTTACTTGTTTGATGGGTGACCATCTCTGGGTCAGACCCCTCTTGGGATGGTTGGGGGTGGACAGTCTCTGAGCAGATACAGTCCACCTGGTCAGGGCCAGAACTTCTCCACCTGTCCCCTGAGGGCCTGCCTCCCTCCACCGCCTTCCTCCACTCCCGAAGTTGTGCCCCTTGCTGAGCACAATTCCTCAAGAGCCCTTAATGCCTATGGCTGGGGTGTCCATTGCCTCTGTTGTCTTGGATTCCTGTGCAAACCTCTGTCCCACGATGACAGGGTGCTGCCCACCTGTCCCAGGGTCATCAAGCAAAAGCCAAGAGCCCATAGCTTAGCAGAGATGGGCATGCCACAGCTGTGTGACCTTAGACAGGTGGCTCATCCTCTCTGGACAGGACACATTCTCAGGGCTTCTTGGCTTGGGAGAAGCTGCATTGACTCCAGGCAAGGGAAGATGCTCCCCCCGACTCTGACCCACATCCCTCCTTTCTCGGGCTGAGGCCTCTGCCATTTTCCCAGACGTATGCAATCAGGCCCAGTGGACCCCCCCCAACCCCAGCCACCCCGGCCTTCTCATATGCAATATTTCTTCTGGCTTCTCATGGGGATGGTTCCTCCCAGACTTGACATTCCCTGAAACCCCTACCCGGTGAGCGTTCTGCCTGCCTATGCATTTTGGGTACAGCCCCGCCCCCAAGACATGTCCCCTGTATACCCTCCAAAGCTGTATTTTTCTCTGGCTGAGATTAGAGCATATTCCTTGTAAAGTATTTTTCTACATGGGGTTTTCTTAGGGCTCTCTGGAAGCACAGCACGCCAAAGGGCTGTACCCAAAGGTACAAAGGCCGTTTGTGGTCTGTTTGGGGTCCATGTGTAAATCTTTGTCCCACCAGGGGTTGCAGTGACTTGGGGGAGGGGTGCTATTGGGATGGTTTTTTAAAATAAAATTATTTAAATGCATCTGGAGTGTTTGCTTTAGTAAAAAAAATCACGGATTGGCAAGAGTCAGCTTTTGTGTGGATTTTGTGACATCTCACCTGCTTTTGATATATTAATTAATTCAAAAAGTCTGCCATTTGCTATACATCATCCGGCTCCTGGGCATACAACATGAATAAGAGATTTAGGTCACATCTGCACACTCCAAGGGTAGACAATGGACAAACAAGCAGATCATATGGAATTATTTCAAGATATGAAGTACAAAATGACAACATGGGCTAGAGGGACTGAAGTGACGTCCTTTACTCAGTCAGGGCTTTGGAAGGGCTTCTTTGAAGAGGTGATATTCATGATGAGACCTGGAGGACAGGAGCCATCTCTGTGGAGACCTGGAGGAAGAGTGTCCCGAGCAGAGGGCACAGTAAGTGCTAAGGCCCAGCGGTAGGAACTGGCTTGGAAGGTTCAAGGAAGAGAAAAGAGATCTGGAAGGGGCCTGGGTTGAAGACTGTGTGGTGGGGGTAGAGATTAATCTGAGGACTTGGGCAGGGGGTTTGCAGGGAAGAGCCACTGAGGTAGGTGAATGGCACCGGCTATATGGAGGCCCTGTAGCCTGGGTGGAGAAGGAAGGGTCCAGGTGGGCAGCTTGGAGTCTGGCTGCTACCCCGGCATCTCCAGAGGGAGTCCAAGGCAGGGTGAGCAGGGGAGTCTGGTCCAGAGGGCAGGGCCAGGCCCCACTGTGGGGTCCACAGGTCTGTATGAGCAGAGAAAGAGCAGGATGGGAGTGAGTACCCTGTTGAGAGAGGGGAGAGAGCCAAGGCAAGGCACAGAGGCAGCAGCAGTTGATACAGTGTAGCCGCACGCCAGCCAGGCACTGTTCTGAGTACCTTGTAGGAACTCACCGGATCCTCCCAATGGCCTTCAGAGGTGGGCTGCTACCATCCCCACCTTACAGATGAGGAAGCAAAAGCACAGGGAAGTGAAGTTACTTGCCCAAGGCCACATAGGTAATAATAGTAAAGGATGGAGTCAGGACTTGTGTACAAGCCCTGTGGCCAAGACAGAGAGAGGCAGAGAGACGGTATCAGAAAAAAGCAGAAACAGGAAATGGAGGTGGAGTGGTGTTTTATTTTAACATCGTTTATAAATAATTACTGAGAAAGGTTTCATTTTTGTGTTGTTTTTTCTGTGTGGGAAGTTGGGCAAACGAACCAGCAGGCTCCCCTGACTTTTTCCACTCACGATGGTACTCGGAGCCCCTTAGCAGGAAGGCTGCCCCAAACACAAACCTGCTCTGTGACCCCAGAGCCCCTGACTGGGTGTTGGTGAGGAGGCAGGGGGGGTCCCCCTCCCCTTGCCCTCCCACTCCTGCTTCCTGTATTTCCAGCAGGATAACCCCAGGCCGGGAGAGAGGGAAAATAAGCCAGCAGATGAGTTCCTGGCGTGAGCATCCACTTTAGGCATCCCGGCAGGCTTGATGGGGACGATGATTTACGCCAGAGAGGGAAACTGAGGCACAGGCACCTGGAGCCAGTCCTCTAAGTTGCACAGGCCCTGGTGCAGCAGGTGGCACTATTAGTTGACTAGCCAGAAATCCTGGCTCTTCTGGGGAAGGGAAGGACAAGGACAAGGCCCGGGGCCCCATCTCAGTGCCACTCAATCCTGTCCCAAATGACTGCTCACACCTGGGGAAGAGGGACCACCCTACCAATCTGCCAACCAGAACTCAGTGTGCCAGCTACCAAGGGATGTAGAAGACTCTAGCCCAAGGGCCCAACCTCCTAGGTACAACAGTCTTAAAGGTGACCTGGGACAGCCTTGAGGCTAATTATCATGTCATTAGTTTAAATATGCATTGTGTCCACACCCACCATGGGCTTTCAGAGAGGCTCATGGGAGGTCTGTCTGTGCAGGAAGACTCTGGTTTCAAGGTGAACTCTGAACCAGGAGGTGGGCCTGACCTAGGGAACCACTGGCCATAACTTTTGCCTCTTTGCCTACTTGCCATGGCAATGGGGGCCTGTTCGATGTCTATTACAAACGTATCCTACTTTGTCAACTCTCTTACTCTGTAAGCCTATCTTTCTCTTCCTCAGTAAATCTTATTTCATGCTTGCCTAGCACTGGGATGTCTGGTCATTTTTTGACCAAGAGTGCTTCAAGAACCAAGGACTCAGGCAGCCGCCTGAAACCCAACAGCATTAGCAGAAGCAGCCAAAGCAGGGCTGGAGCCCATAGCCCTGGGCGGCGACAAGGCTGACACTGTCCCTGACTGGCTGGCTGTGCTCCCTGAGTGAACCACAGCCCCTGTGGCTTCCAAGTCAGTACCTCTAACCTTGGATAATAACACTTACCTCTGAAGAACATTTTGGTTGGACCAAAAGTAGGGTGACCAGATGTCCCGCTTTTGGTGGGACAGTCCTGCTTTTTAACAATTTGTGCCGCGTCCTGCGGCGTTTTAAAAAAGTCCCGAATTTTGGAAAGAATGCACAAACGGGCGGGAGAACAGGAAGGGAATATACGTTTTTGGCTGCCATGTGGCTATTTTGCCAGAATATGAGTTTCATATTATTTTTGTTAATTTTATAATGTTAAACTGTAATAATAACAAATAATTGTTGAGAAGTGATTATCGAGAACTGCTTATCAAAGTTTGCATGGTTGTCAGGCCCCGCCCTGCCCCCACCCCGCCCCCTGGCCATGTTGTCCCGCCTTATAAATGTTAAAATCTGGCCACCCTAACCAAAAGTCCTTTCTAAAAACTGCAAAACGTTTGCTAAACACAAGGAAAAACTGCTCGACCGAAATAGAACCACACATGTTGGATTTTAAAAACGGAAATGTTTATTTTCATGTTATAAGGTGATTACAAACTTCTCTAAAAAAAGCAAAGATGAATTTAAAATATTGATATACATATTTATCTAAAAAGCAAAGAAGAAAAAACCCTGCAAAATACAGGGATTTATATCATAAAACATTTATACACAAAAGCTTGTATACTGCAAGACTGGATTACACACCAAGGATCTTGTTCAAATACAAATATTCCTCCTCAGAAGAGTCTCTTGTTGGTTGGTTTTTCTTTTTATTTTTTTTATAAAAGTTTAAAATATGTTAAAAATATTTTGAAGTTTTAAAAAAATGTCCTGATGAGCCTGACATATTTCTGGAAGGAGGCAAGACCCACATTCTCAGCTTCCTCTTATGCTGAATACAGAGTCGCAGTTGCTAGGGACTGGAAGATTAATTGGGTAAAAAAAAAAAATTAAAAAAAAATGAAGCCAACATCTCAATTTGGAGCCAAATATATAACAAGATGATCCATCCCTCAGGGAACACGTCAGAACATGTCTGTCGTGACACCCACAAGAGAATAGTGAAAAACTGCTTCCTATTATAACGACGTGTGTTGTGAGGGGGTCAGGAATTGAGAGAGAGAGATCGAGAGATTCTGCTCTCTGGCTGCCGGGTGGCCCACTTCTCTCCGAGTTTTGCTGTCTGGGTTTTTTGTTTTGTCTGGTGGTTTTGGACTTGATAGATTTTTGCATATAGTGGTATTTACAGAGTCCACACAGACAGACCAGCTTGGGGCTGGGCCAGGATGTGGTGGCATCCGGATGATACAGCCATGCCCTGAGCTGGGCCGGGGTAAGGGTGGGGGGCATGCCCTGCTCTTCCCTGGGGCTTCACCACTGTCTCTGGGGGTATTCTGGGGCCAGGACTAGGGAGCTGCACATCTTCCAAGGGCTGTCAGGGGACATCCAAGGCTACTTCCTGCTGCTGGGAGTTCCCCACACAGCCTTGGGCTAAGTTTGGAGCCCAGAGGGCCTTCATTTAAATCGTGCCTAAGGCTGTGGCATACCACTGGCTTCTGCTAGCCTCAGCTTCCTCTCCTGCAAATGCAGACCTCAATCTCTAGCCCACGGAGGGCAGCTGGGTGAACAGGTGCTAGCCTCCTTTGTCTGTGACCAGAGCCACCCAGCTTGCTATGCCATAGCTGGGGTCCAGTTGTCCTGTGAGGATGGTCAGAGGGTGGGGCTGGGGTGCTGCTTCCCTCCTCCCTGAACACTATGCAGGGCGTCTCTTTCCCCAGAAAGGCTTATCTTTGGCTGTCCAGAAGATCCTGAGGATTTCTCTCCTTGCACTTGGCACTGACCACATATGTGCCACGCCCTGCATATGTCCCAGAGAACCCACAGCTGGGACTGACTCAGGAACGTCTGGTTCCATTCCAGCTTACAATGTCTCACCAGGCCTCAGTTTCCCCATTTACAACAAACATGTTGGGTTAGGGGCCCTGGAGGCCTTTTCCCTGCTGGCTGCTGGGGACTCTCCCCTGTGGTGACCCACCTGACCCACCTCAGTGCCTCATCTCAGTGGGGGGATTTATCCTTGGGGCCCTCACTCATTTCTTCATCTTTAAAAACTGCTTTAAATGCCCCCTTGCTTCCTTCCCAGATCTGCCTGCCTGGGCTGTGTGTGGGCATCAGGATTTCTACCCCATCCCAAGCAGAGAGGGGGCAGAGGGCTCTGCCCACGCTCTAGAGATGTGTGGACCAGAGTCACAAGCTCTGATGAAAAGTTTCGTTTATCTGGAGACACAACAAAGCTGAGCATCATGACACATTGTACTCACAGAGGCGAGCTCTGCAGATTCAGAGCTGGGGGGTTGGGATCAGAGGCAGGAGCCTCGGGAGGCGGGTGAGGGATGGGCTTGGGCAGTGGCTGACCTTCCTTCCAGGTGGGGCCTGGGGACTTGGTCTGCATGTGTCTTTGGTCTCAAATCTGGTTTGGGAATCTAAGAAGAGGCCTTCATTAGGCCATTTCCAGAATGTTGTCCAAATACTGTAGCCTTTCACCCGGTACCGGTTCCAGGAGGGAGGATGCCAGGCAGCCACTGCTGGCCAAGCCCCTTCCTCCCCACATCACCTGTCCTGTCACCAACAGTGGTTAGTTTACTAAAATCACATAAGACAAAGAAAAACAGGTCACAATGCTACTCGATAAAATTAGGGGGAAAAAAAAACAATAAAATCAAATCGGACACAACAGCAACCATAAACACACAGAAAAGTAGGAACACGTTAGAATCGTTGACAGTTTGGAATAGGATTGGGTGTTGTTTGGCAGAGTAGAGAGCTTTGGAAACAGTGAAATGTGTACGCTTGCCAAAGACAAGGTTCAGAATTGCCCCTTGGGAGGGAGGCACTGATAGTTCCTCCCCTTCCCAAATCCGGGGGATCAGGGGGCTTCCAGGATTCTGAGGGCCCCTGTTCTGAAAACCTAAGCCGAACTCAACTCTCCACACCCCTTGAGGCAGTCACCGCCTTTGTGCGTGATAATTTTTCGGTTTAGTTTAGACTCTGAACTTGGAAGTGTCTGTTCCAATGGCACAGTTTAGGTCCAAATGGGGCTAGGGTGGGGGTTTGTCTGCACACGGGATTTTAAAGGTGTAATACCTTCTCTGCTGGTTCACGGAGGATTTCTGCTCCACTTGAGGCTCTTGGTCAAGCCAGCTGTGGGGTGCCAGCCCCCTGATACTCCCAACCTTCTAGAAAACTCTCCTTTGCCATCACTCCTCGGTTCCCATGTGGTAACCATCTGACATCAACTATTACAAGGGTTTGAAATAAAGACCTTTATTATATTCTAGGTCATCAGCACCATGGGCTGCCCTTGTGTCTGAGCAAATTCTGAGAATTTTGGGAGCATTTCCCCAAATGGAAGATCCAGCCTCAAAGCAAGGAAGCTGCTCACACCTTCCCTGCCAGGTGCCAGTGGCATCCTTAAGAGCTCTTCAGGAGTCCCCCAGCCTCTGGGAGACAAGGACAGAGCTAAGGGTAGAAAAATGAGGACAGAAAAGCATCCCTCCCCAACACTGGGCCCGCCTGCACGCTCGGGCCCACATCCTTTGGTCCCCTCGCCTCCCCACCTCACCCTGCCTCCCTCAGCAGCTACACTAGCTTCACTCCTGCAGGCGGCTTCAGGAGATGCTCAGACACGTTGCCTGGGGAATGACCAGAACCCAATTCAACTCCTTTCAAATGCAACAGACACATCTTGCCCTGAGACCCCCTCAGCTCCTGCTGGTCTGGCTTCAGGTCCCTCCTGCCTGGAATGCCCTGGGAAGGACTGTGTCCTCCCGTGCCCTGTCCACCTCCTGGCAGGTGGAGTAGCGAGCCTCATTCCCACCTGCCTTCTTGGATCTCTAGCTGCCTCCTCTAGGACCAATAGTTCTGACAATCCTACTGACTATCCACCCTCAACTTCAAAATCATAAATGGGGTCTTGCTTCCAGTACAACAGTTTCTACTGCTCTTAGAATCAGACTTCTGCAGTGCGGCCTCGCCTTTTGACTTTAATCAGTCCCTTTTATTTGAGGGGTTGGTTCATTATTTTGGCATCTCTCTTCTTGGCTAAGAAAAGTTTAATGAGGCATCCCCTCACAGCCTTCCTTTCTCCTGACCCTCTGGGTCTGCCAGGTCATGGGACCAGCTCCCTCTATCCTGCTGCTTCCTTCCACCTGAACCAGGCTTTGGAAGGTACTACACCTTTAAGACTGGTCGGATCTCCCAGGAAAATTCCATCCTGCATTTTCTGGGCAGAACTTTCTGCCAGCTACACAAGCACCGAAGGATTGCTTTTGAAAATGAAATCTATTGCTGGCAAGAAGATCAATTCAAGTGGTAAAAGTATATGACAATCTCTAAGTGTATATATAGTTATACGTAAAAAAAATACAAAGTAAAAGTTTACCAAGTTCCCATAAAATACATCTAATTCAGTATGAAAGCTCTGCCTCGCCTCGGACATCTGTCCGCGGATTTTCTTTTTGTACAAAATATCCCCAAATCAAAGCAAAATACACACACGCACAGTACACACACATACACGCATACACACAATAACAAATTTTCTGTGACAATTACAAAAAAAAAAAATCCTAGTGCAAATATAAAGCTCTGTAAACCTGGTCCTATGAGAATCTAATGTTAGTAAACAGCAGGAAAGCGCTGGCCCCGGCGACCCAAGAGAGATCACATCATGGTCTCGACGACGATGTGGGTCGGTTTCATGAGAGCGCCGTTCATGACCGTTGTGTGAGAGTTGTAGGGTGTGGCCCCCTCCTGCTCTACAGCCCAGCGGTTGGGTTCCCTCGGGGTTATCAGGTACCTGACTCGCTGGAGAAGGAAGACAGGTGGGGAGGAAGAGTCAGGCAACCTAGTTTCCCTTCCACAAGGGCATCCCTCCTCCTGAACTGGTTCCTTGGCAAACTTGGCCCTTCCTCGGCAAATCTGGCCCTTCCATTTTTGCCCTTTTTGGCAATAAAGGAATTGAAGTAAGATGCTTCTAGGTCTGCCTTAGGGCAGAATTCTTGCTGGTAGTTTTCTTGGCTAAGCCCCTGCTCGCATAATTCTAGGGACTAGGGATGGGGACTCACAACCTCTATGTGCTGATCTCTTTCTCCTATGGAACTGAAATAAGCCGCCCTTGGAGCTGCAGTCGGTTAGCACACTGTACTTATGTGAAATACAACTCCCTGTGATTCCCTCCTGCCGGGTTTTTCCGACCTGCAAAGCAGCTGAGTTCCTGAGGGTTGTGTGTTCTAGGTTGGACAACTATCTTAAGCCTGCTTGGCTTCCACCTGCCCCAAGGAGAAACTCCAAATTCCTCAGCTTCCCATAAGCTCTGTTTTCTGCGTTCTTCCCAGAAGGCACCTGGTCCTCCTTGGAGAACACTGCTGCTTGTCTGTGCTGCCCGCTCTAAGACAGAGGACCAGGAGGCTGGGCTGCGTGAAAATTCTCAGATCACTTCTGGGCAGGGGAAGATTTGTCCTCCCAGCATGTTGCCTGATCATGGAATCAGTAAAGGAAGGGCCCTCTCCAAGGACACCCAGAAAATCAATGGCAGTACTCAGATTTGAACGCGGGGTCCTGCCTCCCAGTGTAATTCCTGCAAAGCGTCCACTCGGAGACTTAAAGAGGCCATCAGTTGCCCCCCCTCCAAAAGCCCTCTTTCTAGAGGCTTTCCACATTCACTTTAAGTATAGCATATAATAATTTTTTTAAAGTTGCTGATTAAAAACTACAATATTTCATTAAAAAATCTGGTTTTCCATCTTCTCTTGAAAAATGGCAAGATCTAGCAACTCCAGGCCCATGTCTCCTTCTGGTAACAATGTCCTGGCCTCTTTCAGGCCCTACCCTCCCGGGGCTTCCCTCATCCCAGCCTCCCACCTGCTCCCCTCTCACTACAGTGGTCTGTGCACAAGCAGACACCACCTGGAGGCTCAGACACAGGGAACCCCACTCAGAGAGAAACTCATGGCTGGGAAGATCCCCTGACAGTCTGTGCTAGTGGGAGCCGCAGAGGGCACATGGGGAAGGACAGATGACTTTGGTTAAGACACACCAGTATACAGGGAAAAGAGTACACCCTCCCCCACTCCCTCCTTCCTCCTGCCAATCTCACTCTGACCAAACCTCCACACTTAGGCTGGGCCAATATTCTCAAATTAGGCTTTGAAGATGTGCTAAGTAAGGGACCTATTGTGCGTCCCTCCAACTAATGGCATGTAATTGCTATGTTACTTCCCAGTCTGAACAGATCTCTTGAGATCCCTATTGTACTCCAATTAACCCTTTAGTTTCTGGGTGGTATGGACATCCTGGAAATCTGGTTGGGTTGGCATGGGGGGTAAAGGGGTTCCCTGGAGAGCTCTGGACAGCAGTAACTACCTGTCTATCCCCAGGCCCGTATTTCAGCTTTTGAATAACTGATAGAGCCATTCTTCATTCTGGCTGAATATCCTCTGTCCTCTGAAAATATATAATAGGAACAATACTCCAGGAAGACCCTAGGGGCCTTTCCAGCTCAGATAGATCCCAGCTTCAAGTTTTCCTCCCTGCCTGCTTCCTCTGTCTCCCCTCCTCACTCCTGCTACCACCACCACCAACACCTTCAGGCCATTCCCCTGTCTAGGAGGAAACAGGACACAGCCCAAAGGGAGCCAGAGCTCCAGGACATCCTGGCTCCAGATTTTTAAAAAGAGAATAACAATAAAAACAGCCCAGAACAAAACAGTGCAGTGTTGGAGCCAGCCCAAGCCCAAAGGTTAAGGGAGATTCTGAGAAAAGAATTTCTTGGAAAGAGCCCGGCCTTTGCCAGGGCCTGGAAACTCCAGTACATCACAGGCATTTCTGAGACGAGGCTGGAGCATGGGGCTTGGGGGCCTGCAGGGAGGACTCTGGCAGGCACAGAGGCTGGGAGCAAGTTCTGCCCCCAGTGGGGATGGCTCCTGAGGGTCAGGTTGTCAATGGGGCCTCAGATCCAGAGAGGACACCAGCATGGGTTAATTATTCTAAATTTGGCTACAGAATAAGGGAAGGCATCTGGGTGGAGCTCAGGCTTCCTTCCCAAGCTCCTACTGCTTCCAGGGTAAAGCCCTAGCTCTCAGCTTGTCATCCAAAGCCACTGTCACCTCTTCAGCTTCATTGCCCACTCTTCTCCCCCACTCCCCATGCTGACACCAAGAACACCCTTCCTTCTCACTCTCTCTCCCTGGCAAATTCTTCCTCAGCTCACAGGCCTGCTTGTCACCACAAAGCCCCATGGGAGTTGTATTTGGTTCTTTCCCCTCAGTGAACTCTCCCCCCCACAATCTCAACCACACCATTGAACAGTGGGGAAGTCTAGGGCTCAAAGAGGGCAAGCGACTTGCCTAAGGTCACACAGCAAACTGACAAGCAGCCGGCTTTGGCCTTGAGCCTGGCACCTCCCGCCTCCCCTGGCCTTGGGCCCACATGCTCACCACGAGGAATGGCCCCTCCGTCTGGCAGAGGCGGATGACGATGACCAAGGGGATACACAGCATGGAGGAGAGGGCCAGAACCCAGCCTAGCCCGATGGCCCAGTTAGGGTACACGTAGGTTTTGTTGTAGGTCAGGGGTACATACTTGACAAGTGAGAAGATGAAACATCCCTGTGGATAGAGGGGGGCAGTCAGGGAGGGGTCATGGTCCTGAGCAGCCACAAGGGGCTTCTGGACCGGGGTAGGGTCTCTCTCCTTGGAAGGGAGCTGTGTCTGTCTCTCTGCTGCCATGTGGATCTTGCCTCAGCACAAGTCTGCCCAAGTTACTCCCTTGCTCAAAACCCCTTTGTGGCTCCGCAGGGCCTTCAGGATGCAACCTCAGCTCCTCCCTCTGACCAGGATTTCAGCCACTCTGAATTCCTTCTAGCTCCCCAACCACCTGCTTCAGGGCCTTAGCACAGGACGCACCCCCTGCCTAGCTCTCTTTTCCCCCTTCTCCTCACCCTAACTTAGCTCCAGGGGCCCTGCCTCACTTGCCCAGGCTCCACCCAGACCTTTTTTTCTGGAAAGTACATGGTTATATGCAGCACCCATCTCCCCCACCAGACAATGAGTCTGATGATATCAGGCATATGTGTCTGTCCTGTCTCTTCTGTTTAACACCTGGTACAGCTCCAGGTCCACAGAGCTGGTACACAACAGATGCTAGCAGCACGAATGAAAGCCTTTCTTCTCCTCCCCCAGGCCTGGGTGTCCCCAGCCCAGCCCCGAGTCTCCGAGCCTGTGCAAACTTCCCCTTCCCGTCTGAGAAGAGCAGCTAAGGATGGCTACAAGGCTCCAGGGGAGAGCATGTCTGAGGAGGGCCCCGGGTTGTCTTGGATGGATCCACAGGGTGAAAGCGACATAACTCTCAGGGAGGGAGAGAGAAGGAAACTAAGGGTCCAAGTGGAGAGAAGAGTTGCCCACAAATATTCAAGGGGGATGAGGACCTGTGGGGACCAAATCAATTCACCTCTGACAGTAAACTTGCCAGTCATGGTTACTAGCTGCCACGGTTTATTTTTGATTTTGTGAAGCAAAATATGCAGCTTGGAGGAAAAGGCCATGAGCATATTAAATAACAGTAACGGTCTAAGAGCCATTCACTGCCTCTTTAGTGCCACTTCAGAGTCTCCTCATTTGACAAGTGGGGAAACTGAGGACACAGAGGGGAGCGACTTGCTTGAAGTCACATAGTGAGTTAAGGGCCATATTGATCTAGTCTGGCCTGAGGGCAGAGGTCGCCCAAGGGCGGGCTTATTTCTCCCTTCGCACCTGCTTCCTGAGCCTGAGGAACACTGAGGCCATTTGTGCTCCCTGTGGTGGGAGCTGACAAGGGCAGAGCACCTGCTGTCTGGGCAGCAGTGAGCGGCCAAGGGCACAGTTGGTGTCAAACACTGAGGCATGAGCAGCTCATGCTGCACAGTGACTGTGATCGGCACCTGGGAGCAGACCCCTCAGGGCGGGCAGCAAGGCCAACTCCAAGACAATGAGGGAAGACCCCGTCTAGGAAGGGCACTGTGACTCACCTCTGCCCTTAGGTCCTGGGTAGGTACGCAGATTCCTGTCCTTGTGAGAGCCTAGAGCATCCCTTTGCTGGGACATTCCCCCTCTCTGTCACACCTCCACCCTGCCATGGAGACACCACATTCCAACGTCTGTGACCTCTCCATCAGCCACCCCAAAGTCCTAACTGAGCTCATGAGCTCCGGAAGAGACTGGGGAAAGGACTTGCTCTCAGGTGCGGACCCCATGCGTTTCTCAACGTGCCCCAGACACACTCTCCTCTTTCAGCCCATCTTTTCTTTGCACAGGCTGGTTCCTCTGCTGGGAATACCCTTCCTGACAAGCTCCTACATATCTTCAAAACTCAGCTCAAAGTAACCCAATGGAGCAGCCATCCCTCCCTCCTAAGGCACAGCTGAAACTGAGTTTATTAGAAGCCCACACTCAGATGCTGAATGAAAGATGGTTTAGCAGGTGAAAAATGACAAGCTCCAGGGAGAAAAGGCTATTAGCCAGAGCCAGAGCAGGACAGAACTCACAACACAGAGAACTGGAGTGATCACAGCCCAGCTGTACTTCATCCAGGGCCCAGGTCGATAGCCGATCATGTCCTCAATACCATCATAAAGGTTATCACCGCCTGCAAAAGACAGGTGGATGTGTGTTGGCAGAGTGTCCAAGGCCAGCGTCAGCACAGTGGGGGACCTGAGCCAGGCTTATGTATCCCTACATTATGTAGACTTAAGTATGGGCAAACATTTATCTGAAATTTAAATGTAAGTAGGCATCCTGTTTTATTCTGGCAACCTTAGGCACACCCTAAATCCTAGCACGGCTGATCCAAGTATTAAGGAGGTCAAAACGGACCATTCCCAGATCCCAGAGTAGATAACCATAGACAGACCCCTGCAAAACCAAGTTCTGTGTTTGTCAAAACACACAAGTCACATCTTGCACGTTTCAGTATTGGAACAATCAACACTTATAGAGTCTAGGTAGGGCATTTCTCCTTTCTGGTCAATTCACAATGAAGTCCCATTAGAATTATCTGCTTCTGAAGCTTGTAAAGACCCAAAGGAGAAACTTGAAAAAGGATATGCAAAATGTCTATACTCACCATATATCCAGGCAACAACAAAACATTCAAAGAATGCAACCCACAAAAGGCATACACCGCTAGCTGCATAGTAGTCAAAGAGTTGAAACACATACATGCCACCCTGTGGAGGGGAAAAAAAAAACCACAAAGAAGACTGATTTGTTATGTGGTTTCTAAATCCCTTCATATACAAAGAGCTCTAGCATATCAATAAGAAACTAAAAAAACCCAACAGAAAAATGAGCAATGGTATGATGACCAGATAAAGGTATAAAGAAATGCTCAACATCATATTTGGCAAATGTAATTAGAGAGAGAGAGAGAGAGAGAGAGAGAGAGAGAAAGACAGAGATGAAAGCAAAACATGTCTTGACAAAACACAGGTGCACTAAAGTCTGCTCCCAAGGGAGGCTTCAAACCAAGTGTGGTCAACACGGTGACGCCCAGCTATTCAGTGTGTGTACCTGCAATCTGACTTTCCCGGGAGGGTTTTCTTATAGACCCTTCTAGGAAAACATTTCTACTGGTGGTAAGGAAAGTGGAGAAGTGAAGCCCTGAATTGGGTTTGGGGGCTACTGTTCCAAGCGGGAAAGGGAAGGGAAGGGCACAGGGGAGAGCGTGCCCTGGGTCTGATGCCGGCTCCCAGGCTTCTGAGCACAGTCTTTCTCTTATCGGGCTTGCCCCTCGTTGGACATGCATTCAACTTCCCAGTTCTTTGCTTCCCTTTACCCCATTTTAAATTGCTCCTCCTTGCGGGCCCTGCCTACTCTCTGACTAGAGTGTGCTCCCCGTCACCCAGATGCCCACGTGCCCCCAGGCCTCAGCCCTCTCCACGGCAGGCAATGTGCAGCGCAGTACATCTTTATGGGGCGCTGCCCGCCGTGCTTACACTGGGAGGCTTGCATTTATCCTCCAGAACAGTTCCACCTCCCTTCCAGGCCTGAGAAGGGCCACTGCACACAGTTGTGGATCAACAGAACTGCTGTTAAAATAGATTTTGGTTGAAGCTCCCCTTCCCCTTCAGGCCAGGGAGGGACAGAGGCAGCAGGTGAGCCTAGTGTTGTCCAGGGCAACAGGACAAAAGGCAGGCTAGTTTGGGTTAACTGCTGGATGTGCCTCCTCCTACCGCTTGCCCCGAGTGCCCTAGAGGAGCAGGACCCCTGAGATGCATCTCTCCCCATCCTCTTACCAGCTGCTGCCCCCATGGTGGTCTTAAGAATGGCATCTGGGGCACCAAGCCCGAACCGAGGGAGAGAGATCCACCTACCTCCGTCACCATCGACAGCCCCAGCAGGTAACTGATGCTACATATGATGGCGATGAAGATTTCCCGATGATAACCCTTCCTTAGGAAGGATGGGTAAAGATCAACCAAGGACGTGATCTGTCCTTCGACTTCAACAAACTGAGGAGGAAAGAAGAGGAGAGAGCTGTTGAGTGGCAGGCGCCCGGCACCTTCCCACTTCTCCCATAATGCAGCAGGCAGCAGGAGAGACTGGCCTTGTGGTCGAGTCCAAACACGTGAGCCTGCTCTTCCAGGCTCTGAGTCCTGCCTGCTGCTTCTTGGAGCCAGACCCTGTGCCATCTGGCCGAGCCAGAGTGAGCCACATCTCTGCACTTTTGCTTCGGCTGTTCCTGACACCAGAAAGCCCTTCCACCCTTCTCAGACTCAGTTTGAGAACAACAGCATCTCCCAAGCCGATGTCCACCCTCTACCCTCGGCTGCTTAGTGAGCTGAGTGTGGTGCCATGACAGGCTGTCCCCTTGGTTTCTGTCCTCTCTGAAGCCAAGGGTGGTGCCCCATTCCTCTCTGGGCCTCAAGTGCCAAGCCCAGCCAGATGCATGTGGTCCTGGAGATGCATGATGGGGAGGCTTTAGTACTAACTTGCTGGGCAACCCAGGGCAAGCATGAGCCTCAACTTCCCCCTCAGTGGAAAGGAAGGCAGTACAGGTCAGAGTGCACACAGGCCCGTGCGTGTAAGCTACACACTGCCCGTGACTTTAGGAACCTGTCCCTGGGCTTCCAAAGGTAAAGAAGCTGACTTGAAAAGTCCCCTCCATGGTTCTAGGATGAGTCTTAACCTTCTAAATCTTTCCATCTTTGTGCCTACCAATTTATCTTGGAGATCATTCCATGTAATTACATAAAGAGCTGCCCTCGTTTTTAAAATGGTGGCAGAAAACCCCACCACGCAGGCCTGACCAGGGCCTGACTGAAGGTCTCTGGACTCTTGCTGCTATTTCCACCGCCAGCAGCTTCCCCTCCGTCCACCTTTAAGTGCATGAGCATGTGTTTCTGGGGCCTGATCTTAGAGGTGAACCTTCTGGCCTAAAGGGTGCATGGGAGCATTTTAAATGTGGATGGCTACACCCAAGTACCCTGCCAACCAACACATCCTCCAAGGCCAAGTTGATTCTTTGAAAAGTTACAGAGCGGCTCGGCGCCTATAGCTCAACCGGCTAAGGCGCCAGCCACGTACACCTAGGGTGGCGGGTTCTAATCCCCAGCCCGGACCCGCCAAACAACAATGACGGCTGCAACCAAAAAATAGCCGGGCGTTGTGGCG